ACATTGTGTTTTGGTCTTGGGCGAGACACTTAACTCTCACAGTAGTGCCTCTTTCTACCCAGGTGTGTAACTGGGTACCGGCAAATTTAATGCTGCTGGTAACCCTGCGATGGACTAGCATCCCATCCAGGGGAGGTAGAAATTAATACTCCTAGTCGTTTCATGCTACAGAAACCGGAGATAAGTGCGGACTTATAGGCCACTTCGTTCGTATGCAGACTTTGCCTATAACATAAGACTAAGAGGCACGGTTAAGGTTACCACTAACGGTAAAAAGACCAGAGGAAGCGTTGAATGTGAAATTCAAAGGCAACGAGAGTGGGAAGGATACGACTTAAATATTAATACAATAATGAATAATAATTGAACTTTATTGCCTTTGGGTAAAAGCGCAATTACTGGTGACCCAGCAGTTTACACTGGGCTCTCACTAAGTTAAGAATTAAAAACTTATAAAAATAATTTTAAAAAGTTACGTGCAGATTAGAATTTTTTCTTGATTCAGAAATGGTCCAACTAGGAATTAAGCGATAAATGAACCATTTTCAAATGTTTCTTAATCTTAAATAGTCTATTCTGCTGTAGCTTTAGCTATATTGCAAGTGGTATAAGTAGCCGTGTTGTATCGTAGGAAGGGTAAGTGACTGTATTTGTATGTATATTGTTTAAACTGTGAGTAAAACTTGATTTTTAAAAAAATGGTCCAACTAGGAATTCCTCGATAAATGATCAAGAGCTGTATATTGAAATATTGGCCTTCCTTTGTTGCAGATTGAAGCAGCTATCCTTTCAGACATTCTTGCTGGTGAGTTTATGTTCGCCTATGTCCTATACGGCTTTCTCCCAGCCCTTCGCAGTCAGATTGATTTCGGTGACGTATCCCAGACCAACTACACGGAGCCCTTGACCACGTGACCCAAAACGATTGACCGCGGCGAAATATTGAGGCCTAGGAACTAGGCAAAGTCTATGTTACCAAATTGCTTATTTCACGTAATGTAGAGGTGCATTCCTTTGGGGTGATCTGGATCAGGATCAGTGATCCAAGATCACTCAGATCATGGTGCATCAAAGGAACAGGTGATGGCTCCACTCTGGTCACGGATTCATGTGTTCCTTCGATGTACCATGATCAATGATCCTGATACAGATCACCCCAAAGGAACACACCCTAGACTGGTTAGTTTAATTAAAGGTTAGTTTAGACTGACGGAATATCTCAAAACGCATTTTAAATTAAGTTTAGCCCATCGGAGCAAAAGTTGACTTTCGTGTATTCAAAGGGGGGAATCTCTAAATCTAACTTAATCAAAAACGTCACCTAACTTAGATATGATGGAAACAAAAAATTTCTATATTCCGGTTAATTCATGCGTTTTAGGAGACGTGAATCTCGAGTGAGTTAAAGTAAATGTGTGGTATTCGATTCTATCCAATGGCATTGTAATACGGAGCTCCAAATGGCATGATTAATATTGACTGTGCTGTGGACACGTCCGTAAGATTAAGACGCTAGCTGTTATGCCAGTTTCAGTTCGCCTTCGTCTGTATTATAGTCGCTTCGTTCTTCCTATAAGGCCGACCAAGAGTGGACTGTACCTCTTGGCCTGAAAAGTTTTACTCCAAGCATAGAATTTCGGGGATCCTCTTAGATGTATTCGATAGGTCATAAATAGACTGATGGAAATACCTGAAAAACTATGTATAGATAAAGTTATCGTATCGTATCGTTCTCGCGGAGCACCAGATGAGAGTGTAGGTTTTGTTGAGGATCGAGGGTAAAATGTCGGGGGTTTAACAATGTCAGCGATTAATTTATCATTTATTGTTTATAGTTTTTATTTTATTACTTATTTTTCGAAAGACGTCTGCAATGTGAACTTTAGTATAAAAAAAAACACAGGTGAAATTTAGGTAGGTATTAGACATTTCTCTTGATTAAAAAATTATTATTCGTTAAATGATCCAGTTCCAATTTGTTTTTAAACGTACATAGCCTGTTAACACACTTGCCTTACAATATTGCTTAAATTATTCTGAAGTCTTACTCGACTACCGTGAAATGAACGAAGCCAGGATGACGAGGCCCTGAATTGTTACGACATTTGAATAGCTAACATCTTATTGTCAACGGCTGACCTGGTGTTGTAACATTGGGTGTTTTTGGAATACATTTCATTCTACCGGCGGAACGATATTCATTAATCATCTCATTTACTGCATCACTAAAAACCTTATATACAAATTGCACATTTCAATCGCTGTCACAAGTAACACCCAGCGGGAACCAAACTTTGACCCAGGTGACAAACCAGCCGCTTAACCCTGCATGTACTACTGTATCAGAAAATTTTACGTTAGGTAGGACAGGTAGCCATTGCGATAATGACGTGCTACTCATTCCTCTTAAACAAATTCGCTAGTTAACACGTGCGCTGACCTTGAAAACCGAAAGTCTACAGTGTTTCTCGCAGTCGTTCACCGGAACCGTAGTAAGCAGGAACCCTCTTTGATCGTATTAACGGCACCAAAAGCGACTGTGAGATGAGACTTACTCAACATTTCTTCTCGTGGGTAAAGTGACGGATTCGAACGAAACTTTGCTAAAGCGTGTTTCAGTCATTCAGTTTCTATACCTCAGAGGTAATCACAACTGAAAACTGGTTAGCTGAATGGCACTTCGCAGTGGACTTTAGTCACGTTACTAAAACGTCCTTCTACAGCAATTACAAGAGTTGTGCTCACCCAAAGGGTGATGGCCACTGAGTTTACTATAGCTACCAGGATATGTCTCCTCCATCTTTTGCGCCATACAGCTATTACAGGGACATTAAGGTAACYGGTTTCAATAGCAAACGATAGGCTTGTGAAAAACCACTCAATAGCCAAGGGCACTAAGGTGTTGAGTGCGAAAGACTGCGGCAGCTCTTGGGGAGAATTGTTCTCCGTGTAATAATATTGGTACAAGTACAAGAAGCCGTTTGCAGAGATGACAGCACTTGCTTCGTACACCACGCTCATAATGGCGATATCTGCTGCAAGCCGCTCACAACGAGGAGTACGAAAACCTCCCCAGGCAACTAGTCTTCTCTCCCAGACCTGATTATAAATGTGATCAATCAAAGCTATTGTGCTGCGTTCTACGACTTCAGCAATGCCATGGATTAGGCCAATCAGCGCAACGGATTCCAAACTGCTTAGATCCACTTGTAAAAGCCTTAGCAACACCGCTGACCCACAATACAGCGGTGACAACAGTACGAATGAAGTTCCCGGATGGCTTATCTTCCACAAACGCTGGACACAAATACGAGAGATGCCTTTGAGAAACACTGCAATGAGAGGTGTAAATAGTGCTATTAATAATCTGCCAGCTTTGTCTTGCTCGCTGTAAGCTGGATAGATAAAATAGGCTACCAGAAGAGCAACAACAAATGTCAACATGCATGGGACTCCAAAAAGTACGAACAGCCTGAACAGTTTTTTTCTTGGACCGTTAACTAAATGCTTGGAAAAATTGTACACCTGTAAACAGACACATGACAGAAACAAAACATTTAGCGGAATTCTTTGTGTAGTTGACAACTTGGAATGTGAGATTCCAAGGGATTGAATGGCAATTCGATACCCTGCAGCCAAACAGTAGAAAGACAAACTTAGCAGGAAAATTTTAAGCTTCAGACCCCATATTTGAAACGGCCGAAAAAAGAACAATGAGTTAAGGAAAAACCAGCAGTACAGCATGAAGGAACAGACAGTTTCTGTAACGGTGCTAATCCATTGAAGGTTTTTGGGGATCGCTTCTTTGGGTTTGCCTTCGCAATTTAGCCTTGTCTGATAACAGAGATAGTAGAGGAGAATACAGATTATTCCAACAACGGCGGCAGTCAAAACGGACATCAGAAATCCAAACAGCAATGAATTCCAAACTGTGCGCCATATCGATGGTCTAAGCCGCTTCCAGGCCATTGCTCTATCTTCCGGCGGTTCCTGTGTTGTTTCTTCCTTGTCTTCTGTCGAGCTTGCGTCTATAAACCTGGCGTCAATATTACTAGACGCGAGATAATCTAGTGATGTTGTTTCTTTGTTGCTGTATTCTTGGAAAATAACCTCATCCACAGGCTGGCAATACCACTCAGTCCCTTTGTCATCAAGAGGATTGTAGCCAAACAGATCTGAGGTATGCTCCGCTTCATCAAAATTGTAGTGTTCGGCCACACTTCGCGTGAAGCTGAAAATGATATGGCCACAAAATTCTGCGAAAGCGGTGCTTCCAACCATTCTGCGAACCATTAGTTGCGTAGCTGTTTTCGAAAGATCGATTGAAGATTGGTATGGGTTCCTTCTGGGTATCTTTTTTCGCGCAAATGGGCACAAAGCGTGACTAAAGTGAAATAAATTTAAAATTCTGTTGTAGCTGATGCTTTGTATGAGCGTGGTGCCAGCAAAGGAAACGAAACTGTGTAAGAATGCGTCAGCCATCATCTAATTCCTGTGGGAGAACACACTTACAATTACCGAACTTTGTGTGATGCAGTTTGTCATATCTATGTTTGTTTCAAAATGTTTTGTTGATACCCGAGTGAACAAAGGAAGCACGTTTGGCCCACCAAAAGTATCCAAAACCACAAGAGAGTTGATTATTTTACTCAGGAAGTATTGTTTTTAGTTAAAATTTCGCCATTAAGTCTTACAAAATGTATCAATAAACTGATCTCAGAAATATGCTAATAAAACGAAATCATTTATAAGGGTTATATAGTCCTGTTTGAGTTTAAATTCTATAGGATCAATTCTTCCACCACTTGAAAACGTCTAATTGTCGACGCAGTAAAAATTTGGACTCCTGTCGAAACTCTGCTTTCATTTAAACTTCTTATCCTCGCCCGTTCACAAACCCAGATATAATTACCTCGCGTAGTTTTTATAATCATTGCTTAAAGAGCTTCACGAAAACAATAGCTGGAAGGACAATTGGTAGTCGATAATAAAATCGACTTAACCAGCGGTTTTTGTTACCAAAGTTGCTCAGAGCAACATGACCCATCCTATATTGTGTCACGATGGAGTTGATGGAGTGGCAACCGTCGGAGTACTTGTTTTAGTTTTTGACTGAATAAGAAATAGAAGTTCATTGACATTCACATCCCCTTTACAACCTTGAGCTAGCTTGCCGGTACTTACATTCCAACAGCCAACTCCGGTCTTCTTTTTTAGCGACAGAAACTCGGCTCTCTGTTAATATGCTGGTTCACTTGGTTCACATGCTGGTTCACTTTGTTCATGTTGGTTGACTTGGTTCATATGAGGACTCGCTGCGTTGCATTGGGTTGCGTTGCTTTGCGGTGGCGGTGGCGGTGCGGAGCGGTGCTTTGTGGTGCAGTGCGTTGCTGCTTTGCTTCGCTTCGCTTCTCTTTGTTTTGCTTTGCTTTTCTTCTTTCCCTTATAGGACTCTGCAGACCATGATCGTTTTCTGTGTGTCTTTTCTATGTTAGACCATTCCCTGCTCTTTTCTTTGTCCTTTAGCCTATTAGTGAATTTAATAGCGCAGCCCTGGCGACCCGAAGGTCCACTAAGCCACGCACTATAACTATAAGAACGGAACCACATAATGCAACTCTTTTTTCATGGTCAACATGGCCAGCGGCATGGATCGCGTGCGCCCTACGACTCCGAATCCGACGATGTCGAATCCGGCGTCGCGCAATGAATCCGACGACGAAGTCGTGCAACATGGCGGCCATACTCCAGCGAATTAGTCGACCAAGTCTTGCAGTCTTGGTTCATGACAGCGTACGTCTTTGATATTGTACATTCATGTTATGGTTAACTGACACCTGTCAAAAAGAGGTATCCACTGACGCTGACCAGTATCACGTGACCAGTATTACGTGACCATATCGTGGGCTCAGGTTTAGGCTCAGGTTCCTTGTTTTGGTTGGCAATGTTATTTAAGCAATAGACCACAAGTTTTTATGGTTTATAGGCTGATAAACCACGCGGGATTTCGGAACAACACGAGAAGACTTGTGGTCTATTGCTTTTATATAATAATTCAGAAGACACCCCAAATTTCCATGAGTTTACTGGCACAATAAACCATAGCTGATTGACGAATCAGAGCGCGCGTATTGATTTGATTATTATATAAAAAACAATATTTAATAATTCATGCGTTAGCTCATGTTAGCTGTGTGTCATCAAGTTATGATGCAATTGGGAAAGTTTTT